TAAGTACATTTTAGGTATTGTTTAACTTCTGACTTCAAAATTTAAAATAATGGCTTATAATCACCATACTTGCATTTATGTGTACTGAACTTTATCAACAAAAGTAACAAATTAATCAAATAATATTCCTTATGGAATGACATGCTCCATGTTCAGTACACATAAATGCAAGTATGGTGATTATAAGCCATTATTTTAAATTTTGAAGACAATACAATACCTAAAATGTATTTATAATCTGATAAACAAGAAAACTGTTAAGTGTATTAATGTATGTAAGCATTTCCATGTTTTTATTTAATAAAAAAAAAAATATTTTTTATAATTGCAATATAATTTTATGTCCTTCTTTCCTTGTCTTCACCCCATGGCTTATGTAAAATGTTGAATGTGAATATTTCAATTAAAAAAAAAACTAAAATCTTGCTGCCTGGAAAAAACAAGCTCCTAAGGGCTGTTCACATGTCGCGCCTAAAAACGTGTGGAAAACGTCGCTTTCTCCTTCTTTCCAAATCGCTCGTGGCGTCTGCTGTTGCTCAGCAACTGTGACCTGCACTCTCCATGACGACGTGGAAGTTTCAGCAAAGGATAAATGGATTTCCAGCACTAAAAAAATCACTTGCACTGTGTCCCAATTAGCATACTATCCGTCCAAAATAGTATTCGAAATTAGAATTAGTATGTCCCAAACTGTAGTATGTTGAAATTCGTATTCCAAAGGTATCCGGATGGTTTACTGCTTCCGGTAGAAATTCGAAGTGCAGATCCATGCACACTCTAAAGGCTAATTTATACTTCTGCGTCGGACCTATGCCGTAGCCTCCACACCGTAGGCTACGCGTCAGTTTTCATTTATACTTCTGTGTCGACGTGCAATTACACATGCAGACCGCTAGTCTGCAGTGTCCATGGGCATGTTGCTGGTGTAACCAAAAGTATCAAGGCAAAAGCCGAAGAAGAAGCAGCTTGTCAGAGAAGCATCAGCAAATAAATATCCAAGAACAGATCATTTATTTAAAACTACAAAAAAGGAGACGACAACGGAACAGGAGAAGATGGCACTCTTTCAGTCTCCACAAGGACTTGTTCCATGGCAGAACAACATTGTTTGTCGCGAACAACTAAGTGATGTATAATGATATGTTGCATAATAAATTATAAGACACTTGTTCTTTGCTTTGTTTATTTTAAATAAGAAGGTGTAACATTAAAGTATATTAAAGTGCAAAAAATACACACAAAACTCAAATACATATGGAGGGAAGGGTTTTAGCAGACCAATCACAGCGCTTGCGGCCCGTGTAGAATTGACCCGTTGTTACATTTCTGGAGAGGTGTACGTCAGGCTGCGTCGTGAGCTACGCGTGCTACGCACAACCTACGACGCAAGCTACGGCGTGGTTTCGATGCAGAAGTATAAATCAGCTTTAACGGCTAATATTGCCCACAACACATTGCGCGGTGGATGAGGATTCAATTAGAACTACAAACACGCATGAAAAGTGTTAAAAAACTACAAACATGGCGGATATGCGAGACCAACAGTCAGGTA